GAGGTAAAAGAAGGGTTTGCAATTAACAGCTAGTTTTGTGGGGAAATCCTGGCTTTGAACCACAGGGAGAATGGAATGTCCTTGGTGGGGGTTCCCGTATCCTTCTGCAAGATGGTGCTTAATGTTTATTTATTGGGAATTTTTTTTTACCCTGACAGATTGTTCGCATTATTATGCTTTTCTCGAACATGGAAGTATGATAATCACAGCTTTTCTCCCCTCTGATGCCTGCCCTCCCTCTCTCAACCTTTTCTGTTCCATCTCCTAGGTGGCCCCAATTGTGTTGTGGTTTTCTGTCGTTTCAATGAACTCCTTCCACGTGAATAAGGTCCAGAGTGATGGCTGGGGTGTGTGTCCATGCGCACGCTGTTGCTGCGCCGCCTCTTGCTCCTTTTGTGGCTACATCAAGTGAAATTTATATCGGCAGGAAGGTCACTGCCACAGTTCTCTTGCCTCACCAGTTGTGGTACTTAATTAATGTGCTAAACAGGGGGAAGGCAGTGATACAAATCCCTGCCTGTTGCACAACAAAAAACCGAGGGCATGTTTAGTTTGGTTGTTTTTTTTTAATTGCTGAGTTTATGAGGCCCGTTTATGGAGCGAGATGAGGCAAAAGCTAGAGGTGACGGAAGGCTTTCTTGGACATTCTGCTTTAGCCACTCTGGGCCTTTTGCCATTTGAAATCTGTCTCATTTACATTATGAATGACATTAAAGGGAGCTAACGAGGCTGTTGGGCACAGAAGCCTTCTCATGTGATCACATGTGGAAAGGGGACCTACAGCGATGCTCTTGGCAGGGGCACTGTGGGTCTTTATTTTCAGGTTCTTCGGTAGGACAGTCTCTGGGAGTACAGAACTTGCCCAGTGTTAAATCAACCGCCAGAACCAAAAGAAAAAAAGAAAAAGAAAGTTCTTCCAGGCAATATGGACAAAACCCCAAGACGGAGGGACGTTTGGATTAGAGGTTAGAACTCTGCACAGCGAGACTAGCTGATGCCAGGCACATAAGAGAGTTTGTGGCAGAATGCTGGGTGTGTGGTGATTTTGGCAATGGCTGTGATTGGCACAGCAAGGTAGGGACCTGAGACTAAAGGTTGTTCTACAGTCTGTGCTTTCCCACTTTTGAAATGTGAGCTGGTTTAAGGAAACTGGGATTTGGAACATGCTAGGTACATTTCCATAGGGCTTGGAGGCTAGAATCTTCTGTACCTACCCTTTGTACTTGGCTTGAAAAGTTGCATTTCTCTGATCAGTCAGCGTTGAAAGCGAGAGTAAATAGAGTCAAATATCTAGGGATGCTTTCCAGTTAGTCACACCTTCTTCAAAATTTCTGATAAAACATATGCTACAGACTAGGTACCATCCCTTCTCAGTCTGGCTAATGAACAGGCAAGGAACCTCTAAAAAGGAGGTGGGCATTTCTTAGGGACCAGCAGCCTTGGCCAAATGAAGGAGGAGCGTTCAGGATGTGGTGCAACAAATGTAAATGAGTACAGCAAACAAAAGGCAAATTTGAAAGTCATATTGCTACAGATGTTGAGATGAGCAATGAGAATTTATTTAAATACATCAGAAGCAGGTAGCCAGCTAGAGAGACAGCAAAGAAAGTGAAAGGATTGCCAATGGAAAATAGGGAGATGGCAGCAGTTGAATGGGTTTTATGTGGAACAGGTAACCGTATCAGAATAGCTGTTTGAGGGCAGGCGTGTCTGAAAGAGTTGGGTAGAGATGACATTCTAAGGCAATTCAGCAACTTAAAAAAATATCACAGATTTGAGTGGCATACCCCTGAAGGTACTTAAAGAGAAATTTGTTTTTTTTTAATCTCCAAAGCAGCTTGCCACTAAAGTGGGCCTCCTTATCAGAGGATTCAAAAGCAGCCAATGTAATTCTGAATTTTATAAAGAGAACGAGGGGTGATCTGGGAAATCATACACTTGTTAGCCTACATTAGTTAAACTGATAGAAACCAAGAGCTATTACACATATGCAGAAAAAAGTTATACTAAAACAACACAACCTCTGCAAAGGGAAATCTGATCTCAACAACCTTCTGTGGTTTAAAACAAGTGTAACCCCTATATCCAGGAATCCCAGGAAAAGCACACCCTTTTTATCCGGGAACTTTCTCCCCTCATTTGATCCCATATCTCTATCTATGGAGAGTTAGTGTGGTGTAGTGGTTAAGAGCAGCAGATCCTTATCTGGAGAACCGGGTTTGATTCCCCACTTCTCCACATGAGGCCTGCAGGGTGACCTTGGGTCAGTCACAGTTCTCTCCGACTTCTCTCAGCCCCACCTACCTCACAAGGAGCCTGTTGTGGGGAGAGGAAGGGAAGGTGATTGTAAGCCACTTTGAGACTTCTTGAGGCAGAGAAAAGCGAGATATAACCCCTCCCTCCTTCCTGCCTGTATGATATTGCTAATAAATTCTCCCCAGTCTTTCTCTCTCATGCACTGTCCATACTCGTGGACCATGTCAGTACCCACTCAGTGGAAAGGCACAGAGCCTTGGCTTTATCTTGAAATATTCCCTGTCCTTCACTCCCATGTATTCAGTCTGTTGTCAAGTCACGTCTCATATCGCTTTACTACACTGTGAAAATATGGCTGTTCTGCCCCCTCACCCAAAGACTCTGACTCATGCTTTGGTCATCTCTTTGACTGTTGCAACCTTTTTCTCTCTGGCCTTTTGTTGTCCTCACGTCAGCTTCCTCACCTGTATTCAGAGTTCTAGTGTCCAAATAATTTCTCTATGGTGGTTCAGACCACATAATGAATGCCTTCAATCCCTACTTTGACTCCCTGGTGGCTTGTGATCCAGCACAAACTCGCACTTCACTTTCAGAGTTCTCCATGGTCTTGCTCACTAATTTCTCTACTCTCATGCCTTGATATTCCCCAGTACCCATGTCATTACTTCCTTTGCTCCCACTCCAACTTTTGGAAGGTCCTGTTGCTGCCGTTCTTCATACTATCTGGGATTCCCTGCTTGAACATCTGTGTGATACCGGTTCTTCATTCTAATTTCCTCCTCAAAATCCACCCCACTCAGGGAAGTTGTTGGTACAATCCCTTCGTCCTTATCTCCCCCCCTCCCCTTTTTGGAACTAAGATTTAGTCAGAGCTGGTTCTTTGACCAAGCCCCACCGCCAACATAGCTTGAGGTGGCACAGTTTAAGGGGGTATGGATGCCACAGCAGAGGGCTCAGCTTGGTCAGCCTAGGATGAGATAGTTATTGTCTCCTGGATCTGGGCCACATTTCTGCTTGGCTCAGATCCAGAAGAAGTGGTGGTTAGCTACATGGGCTTAGGTATTGATGCGTGGACACACACACACACACATACAAAGCCTGAATGCAAGGCACAAAAGCAGTAATTTTTAAGAATGTGCTGGAGAAGAAAAAGAATAAAACATATTATGGTGGCACCTTGTGCTGGAATAATCTTATTTTAATCTACACAGCTAATCAGATGCCCTTCTGGGCAGTCCCACCTGGCTATACTCAGTTTCTAAAAACATTTGGTAGGCGCCAGAAAAGGTGTTGGCAGGCATTATGGTGCCTTTGGACACCACATTGGGCTAAATAGGTTAAAGTGTTTTTCACTAGCCTCGTTCACATGTTAGCAGGGAATGCATGTATATCGTGCATGTAAATGTGTACATCTGTTTGTTAGAAAGTGTCGATGCCTGTTCACTTTACAAATAAAATCAGGAAGCAGCGCCTGGATAAATCTGGGGTTAAAATTACATGTTCAGCTGTATGTGAGTTGAAAGTAACATTAGAATTATACAAAGCACGTATAAGGAAAAATCAGGTGTATGCTGTGCACAGATTATACAAGCGCTGTAGCTAGTGAACAGGACTTCTCTGTGTTTAGCCAGGTGGGTTGCTCCAGTGCAGTTTGTATGTGAAAAGGGGCTCTCTCAGTGGTAAAGCTCTAAAATTCATAGTAGGCATCAGTCTGGATTTCAGTGGGTGTAATTAGAAGCAAAATTATTCAAGACGATGCTAACCTTCAGTCCTCAACTGACATACTCAGTGGTAAACTCCATCAATTGCAAAGGAATTTACTTCTAAGTAAGTGGGTGTTCAGGTTATAGCCTCAAAACGTGTTTTGATAAACATTTTACTTGTTCTTTGATTAAGGAACAGGGTTTGAACAGCTGGTGTGTTTATGAATTTTTGTTTTAGGAGGGAGTCATTTATAACATTATTTGGAGCTGTTTGTAGGATTTTTTAAAAATTCACTCCTTCTTGCCTTAGTACACAACTGCTCCAGTATTTGTTGGCTAGTGCTGTGTGTCTTCACCGTGTTCTGTTTTAATTTGACTTATTGCAAAACAGTAATAATGTTAATGCCGTCTGCAAGTGGAGCTTTAATGTGGACCAGGGAACAGAAACCCATTAGTTCTGCAGAACCTTTCCCTGGACCAGTTAAGTAATAACTTTTCATTTCTCTCCCCTGCGAATTCATCCTAGAACAGTGGCACTCAACTCTGTTGCTCATGGAGAGCCACGTTTTGCAATTAACTACCAGCTGAAAGAGACTCCCTAGCATAAGGCCTGCACTTCAGGGAGGCTTGAAACGTACCTATTTTTCTGGAAGTAACTTTTTCAAGGTGAGAACCACCTGCCAACCACAAGCCCCACCAGGCGAGGGCCTTGCTTGCTTTCCTGAAACATGGGGCAGGCCTCACATTTGGGAATGCTGCTCAGAAGAGCCACAGCTGGCTCCTGGGTATCACTACCCTACAAGTCAAAGGGTGACCTTTTAGAAGGAGTCGCCATAAGTCAGCTGTGACTTGACAGCAAAATTTATTTATTTATTTATTGTCTTTACAGTTTTTGCAACTGGAATCATAAATAGCAAACCCTCGTTCCACAGTAGACCTCACTCCACAGGGAAACATGGAAGAATTTAAAGGTTGCTACTGCAAAAGTTTGTTTGCTTATCTTGCCTAGGTTTAGAATAATTCCTGGGTCTCTTCCTACAGATTTTAACTTTGCCATGTATCCGCCATCAATGATAGCGACGGGGAGTGTGGGAGCAGCTGTCTGCGGCCTGCAGCTGGACGAGGGAGAAAGTCTTCTCTCTGGTGATGTCTTAACAGAACTCTTGGCCAAAATCACAAACACAGAAGTGGTGAGTGTGTCTCTAGAATCGTTGACGAGCAGTTTTTGGCATGATGGACTTCATGAAGTGCTGTACAGTTAACATGCTGCTGGGGGAAATACCATGTTCTCAAGGGTAGTGAAACGATCACTTTGTCCACAGAGGATCTGATTTCAGGCTGATGGGGACCGTTACAAGGAGAAGGGAGAAAACTCTTCCTTTGGCCATTGCTCCCCATCCCAGATAGGCAATTTGTTTTGTTGCTCATTCGGTCAAACGGTGTACATGACAAGGCATGTGGGGAATTTATTTTCCGGTATTTCAGTCACCTCTGTGTCCTACAGTGAACCCTACTAAGCCAAGAGGTGTATTGCCATGAGTACAGGGGTTTGGTAGGTGGTAGGAGATCTTTCATGCATCTGTGTGCTGGAGGGGTCTTCTTTCTTCTGAACTAGAGGGGGAAAGTCAAGGGGGAGTGTTTATTTTATTTTAAAAACTTCTATGCCAGGAGAGTTTTACAGATACCATAGGTCGCCAAAGAAGACAAATCACTGGGTTCTAGATCAAATCAAGTGTGAGCTTTCCCTAGAAGCTAAAAATTACTAAACTGAGACTAGATTCAGGTGGGTAGCCATGTTGGTCTGAAGCAGCGGAACAAAGTTTGAGTCCAATGGCTATCATATTTTGGTCCTATTATGAGAAGACAAGAGTCACTGGAAAAGACAGTCATGCTAGGAAAAGCTGAAGGCAGCAGGAAAAGAGGAAGACCCAACCTGAGGTGGATTGACTCAATCAAGGAAGCCACGAGGGCCCTCGGTTTGCAAGACCTGAGCAAGGCTGTTAACAGTAGGACATCTTGGAGGACATTAATTCATAAGTTGGAAGCAATTTGACGGCACTTAATGCACACAAACATGCTGCCTTTCCACCCAATTTAGGGGTCCTGTGGCAGCAATTAACCTGGTGTAAACATTAATGTGCTTCAAAGCATTCAAAGTACAAAATATGTATAAAATACTTAAAACAAATAAAATGTATTTATGCCAATTAATTAGTTAAATTCGTTAAATATAGATATTTATATAAACGCAGGAGCGGTGGCGCAGGCATTACAACGCCTGCTGTTAACATCTGGACGAACAGCCAGAAGGCTGTTCGATTCCCCACCGCGGCCGGGTTGAGCCCCCGGCTCTCGTCCCAGCTCCCGCCAACCCAGCGGCTCTGTTAACATCAGAGGAATGGGTACCTGCCTTAGATGGCAGGGGGCACCCCCCTCCCTTCCCAGCCTTGTGCTGGTGATCGGCAGTAAAGAAAAGTGAAGGAGGAGATCGAGTCGGCGGCAGCAAGTGAGGAAAAGAAATGGCGGCGGCAGAGAAACAGCGAAAGGCGACCAGAACGGCGGTGACTGGCTCGAGCAGTGGTGAAGGCGGAGCCGAGGGCGGAGTTGGTCATAGAGTTGGAGCGACGTCAGAACGCGGGACGCAGCGCGGCAGGAGCCGCTTGGACGTTGCCGAGGCTGCGCCCGAGGAGAGATACGCCGCTCCAAAAAGAATAACAGCCAGCTCGTCCAGCCGATAGCAGCCGGGTCGCAAGGACAACAGCAACAGCAACAACTCACACCAAGAAAAAGCTGCCGAAGAAACACCGTGCCGTATTAGGGGTGCTGGTAGGTTGTCCCCCCCCCCGCACCATATGTGGCCCTAGATAGGTATTAGCTACGATACAGTAGCACATTGTAAACCGCCCTGAGACCCGCTAGGGGTTAAGGGCGGTATATAAATCACCTGTAAATAAATTTTTTTTAAAAAGATACACAAACAAGGAGGAGGGCTAATAAGAGTTAATGAGGGAATGCCAGATGAAACAAAAAAAGGTCACTAGCAGAAGATGGTGACTGAGTGTTGGATCCCCAAGCATCGAGAATAAATCCACGTTTTCAAGAAAAGCAAAATTTATTTCAAAGCGTTGAAGACATACTCAAACACGTTCTTTGTTAGAACTGGGGATACACAGTTAGGGCAAGCATAATAAAGGAACTTCAAATAGATACAGATCCAATGAATAGCTTTCCCGCTGGCGGGCTAATGAAACAGTTGCGCGCCCAGTCTATGGGAACCAGGCAGAACATTAGACAAAACACAGGTGCAGTACTCATGGGAAAAGCAATAGCCAAGCATTACAGCATCTTCTCCCCCACACAACCTCCAGCAGTTATCTTTTGCATTCCAACGCAGGAGCAGGATGATAGAAACCAAGCCGGGTGCAACAGGGAAGGATATGTACACAGAGGTCACAGAAAACAGAATGGCAGCTTGCTGACATACTGCCCCCCTTAAAATACACTTACAACACACCTCCCGGGCTGGGCGGGAGATCTCCCGGGCTGGGCGGGAGACCTCCCGGTTTGTCCGGGAACCTTCTGTGGAAACTACGGATCAGGTAAGGGGCCCGAATATCCCCTTCTTCCACCCATTCGCGGTGCTGGGGACCGAAATCAACCCATTCGATAAGGTACCAGAGTTTACCACGTTTCACTTTACAATCAAGGATATCAGCGATCTCAAAATGTTCATCCCCTTCCAAAATGACCGGTGGAGGAGGAGTAATTGCTGGTCTCCAGGGAGACGGGCCAGGATCCTTTTTCAACAGGCTCATGTGAAAAACGGAATGCAGAGCACGTAAATTCTTAGGCAAAACAACATCAACCGCCACATCATTTATGACTTTACGCACTTTGAATGGACCTATGAACTTCCACCCCAATTTCCTGCTAGGTCGCAGCATCTTAATGTTCTTGGTCGAGACATACACAAGATCCCCAGGTTTCAGATCAAACCCCACCACCCTACCCTTGTCTGCCTGGGTCTTGTAAGCAGCCTTGGCTGCGTCAAGTGTTTGGCACAGCA